CTAGCGAGGGATCGTTTCACCTTAGTTCAGGTTTCAATGCTGTATTGGACGTTAGAGGCTGAGAGGTAGATAGGTATTACTAATTCCGCCAGATTGGGCCAAGATATCACATTATGTGCAGGTTCGTTCCTATTACTCTTACTAGTACGCGGTACTAATAAGAGCCTAGCTCCATTCTCTCTTGTGTCTGAATGACTTCCTTTTTTCATGTAATCACCATGAAAAAGCAGCGAATCTGAAAGAATCACCTGATCTCTGTCCTTGTCGACAAAAAACGCTGAATAGAAAGGAACTCTCTCGGCAAGGTCGTCCAACATAACCGTTCCACTGCCCACGCCGGAGGTTGAGACCATTCCTGCAACACCCGTCTCCTCTTTTATCGTTGGGAAACAAACTCATTCAATAGCGCAGCAAGAGTGAAGCGTCGTTACTGTTATGACTGTTCTCACATGACCAAATTGTATGGTTATTCTGAGTCAAGCAATGCCACGTATTTTTATCGCGCGGGACTCTATGAAATTCTAAGGCAGTGATCATGACTGCTTTAGACAGGCGCTACTTTGATGAAGACGCTGAACGCCCAGACCCTAGCGCGCTGGGGATTTTGTTGGCACCGCCTCTCAACGCCCTTCCTCAGCAATGCTAAATGACATCATCAAAAGCGGACCATACGTCAGTCATCGCGATCACTGCCTTCATGAGACACCGGCGCAATTTCATGCGCCGTATTGGGAAATTTTTAAAATTTGCCGACTCCCCCGTGTGCCCCTACATAATCTGCTCCTACGGTCGATGATGCCAGTGACGTTCCTGGACCTAGTTCATATTGACACCCTTCAAACTCCACCCCTAAACCTGCAAAAGCGTGCCGTAGTGGGTATAAGTCACCTTGAAATCCTAGTGTTTCCGAGATTACTCCTAATATAATTCTGCAGGAAAAAAGGCACTATTTACCCTTTACTGCCCCACTCCTCGAGAACTGAGCCGGGTTTTTATCGAAATTGTCCATGACTGTGGATTTGGCTAGAAACTTGCCTTCGGGGGTAATTCGACCCGTAGAACACGAATATCACATTCGTTTACCGCTAGAACGCCTGGCGCTCGCGTCAGAAGCGCCGGCGCCAAAAGGCGCCAGAACATCTCGGATCACCAAATTCGCTGGAAACTTGTCCTCAGAGGTACTTTGACCCGTAGAACATGAATATCACATTAGTTCGTTGCGAGTGAGCCTGTAGCCTGCGCTACGGCGCCCGCGCAAAACTGTTGTGATAGCGCCGGCGCCTGTGGCGCGGGCGCCAAGCGTTGTCGCGCTAAACCGGTGTGATATTCGTGTCTACGGGTCGAAATTACCCCGAAACAAGTTTCTAGCCAAATCCTTAGTCATGGACGAATTTCGATCAAAATCCGGCTCAGTTCTTGAGGAGTGGGGCAGTAAAGGGTAAATAGTGCCAAAAAAATTCCAACTTCCAGAAAAACTACTTTCCCCTGCTCATCCGCAATGCGACAAATCTTCTCCAAATACGATATTTCTCGTCAAGAAATTCGGAACGGAATGTTGAATCCTGTTTGGGGTCCAAATAAGGCGCACATGCTCCGCACCCATATAAGGTGGCCCCGAATGATTTGACGCATACCTGGAATTGTAATCCTTCTCATGGTGTCCCACATCAGTTTACCATCGCTGAGCGCTGAGAATTGTCCCGTTCGATTCAGTACACGTCGTCCAGCGGTCGCGAACATTTTCAGCGAGTCAAACAAGGCGATGTAGCCGTAAATATTCGTCTAAAGAAAACGTATTTATTAAACATATTCCTTTATTGAGCCCCAACACACAACCCTGCTATTTTCGAGTACACTATCAGTACTAATTGGAAACGCTAAACTTATGTGTTTGCCTGTCTGTATGACTGTGACCATATGCTATCTCCTAAACAGTCTTCTGGAGAAGGCCAGGTCAACTTCGAGATGGCTGAGACATAGCCAACTATTCGCCGTTTCTTACCGGTAATGGCTTTTTGTTTTTGATTGTCTTTGAAGAGTGATGTCATTCGGAAGCCCACTATTTCCCGATGTAGCTATGTACCGATTCTATCTTTGTTCCATAACGAAGCTTAGGCGCTAGCAAAAAAAAACAATGCTATGCTGCACAACCAGTCCAGCTCAAAACCGAATGCTAAAGCTGAAGTCATCAATTCGTTAGCTGTACATAGTTTTTAGGAACATACCATTGAAATGTCTGTCTCTTTAAGACCGACTGTACTGAGCCGTTCTACGAATGGGACGATCATGCGGTTGTCGAAACCATTGGTGTCATCTATCTAAAAGACC